AGTGTGTACTTGTTAAAAAGCAAGTACTGACATTAGACTTTTCTTGTATTTATACGTATAAAGATTAGAATGCGTTGTTTCGTCACTTTGGTGCCCTTACTGTTAACGATATTTTCGGCTTTAGAGAGATAAAGATCGGCAGATTGAGATGGAAAAATGAGCATTAGACAATAGACACCTATCACTCAGTTTTGACAGTAACGTGCTTGGTCATATGACAACTGTTAGTATAGATGCAGGTGGTAAAAATTGAACTGAGTTTTTTTGTTTTTCATACGTTTCCGACGTCACATGAGTTTTATCTAACGAATTATAATAAAAGAATGGTGTCTGATATAATAGCATTGAGACCGTTTATTGTAGTAAGCCCAGTTTCGTTGAAATGATTGGTGGCTCGTTGTAGTGGTCTTAACGTACACGCAACAACTCTTAACAACACTTAGATATTTGTGATTCGCCTACAGCCATAGCATGTGATCGGTCATCGCCGAAATACTGAATGAAATAGACAACCAATAATTTTTCGACGTACAGACAAGCATCGAGTTGTTAGTAAGTTAATTGTGTCTATGTCATGTTCACTTAATCTAAGTAGAAACACACCTGTAACATAAAAGTAACTGGGGATATGTGGGGGACTACTTAGGCCATTTCGAAATATGACAGACCTGATCCATCGTCTCACTGTAAATATTCAATAAATGTTCGAGTAGCAGGTAACCCATTTTGTAAATAATAAACATTATCGTGTCATCTTATCAAACTCTAGAACTTCAGTTTCTATACAATAAAGTTTATTACGTAATCTGCTCACCAGCTTTAGGTTAAGGCGTGGCTGAGTAGTTGTGTGCCGGACTGCAAAATCACCTTCCATTGTTCGCATCACGTTGCCGTAAAATCGAACCTCTCACTTTGGGATCGTGTGTGCATTATAAGAGCGATGACCAAATCCCACTATTAAAGTTGGTGGTGGGTGTTATGTAACTAGGTGCCTTCCCTATAGCCCTTGTTTAGTTGTATATGATTATCTGAAACAAATAGTTCTCCCGATACTTTTACTGTCGCCATAAACATAACTGGGTGGATGGTGGGCTTAATTACTAAGGCCACTCTGATCTTTCAGTGATCATCTATAGGTATTTTACAATTGTCTGTATAATAATTTCCATAGTTTTAGTTGGTTATGTTGTGGTTTCATCAGTTTAAATTTTGATTTTATCTTCTCGTGTGTTTCTACGTGGGGGGGGGGGGGGAGGCGTTATAATATGATAATCATTCCCACTATTCGTTGGTAAAAGAGTAGCACAAGAGTTGGCGGTGGGGGTTGTTTACTATCTGCTTTCCCTGTAGTCTATCACTGCTAACTTAGGAGCGGCTGGCGCAGATAGTCCTCGAGTTGCTTTGCGGAAAATTCAAAACAAACAAATAAACAATTGTCCAGAGAATACAGGGGAGGAATGCAGGCATATAATGGATAAGTAAAGAGTACTCCACTATTAAAGCTGCTCTAACTAGTCAGAAATTCCATCTTTTATATAGACCTTCTTCCAGTACTACATTATGAATGACTGTGGATAATTAACAGCATCATATATTGTATTAAGTTAATTCTTTATTCCAACAGCAAACTTGCTCTAACCCAGCGGTTCCCAACCTTTTCACCACCAAGGACCCCCATGTTTTTGAACGATTCCATCTACCCAACAAACTGTTTTTCTTACTAATAATTAACTTGTTTTTCCATTTTTCACTATCCAATAAAGGACGTATATAACTGAGTGTGCAATTAAAAGAACGGCAGAATTAAAAAACTTACTTGTTTAATGAGATGGTATTATCTTCGCGGACCCCCAGGGGTCCGGGGACAACAGGTTGGGAATAACTGCTATAACTAATCAAGAATTCCATCTTCTCTTTAGGCCCTCTACCAGTACCAGAGGATGGACGACTATGGATAATGAACAGCCTCATCAAGAACACGTCAAGTGTGTGGTTGTTGGAGATACTGCCGTGGGGAAGACACGACTCATTTGTGCACGAGCCTGCAATGCTCGCCTGACCCTGAGCCAGCTGCTGACCCACCACATCCCAACAGTGTGGGCCATTGACCAGTATCGTATCTACAAGGAGGTAGGTCTTAAAATGTGTAAAATGATGGGGTTCTTAATTGTGGGTGCATTTGTGTGTGTGTGTGTGTGTGGAATAGTAATGATTTTCGTTCGTCAGATAAATGTATTTTCGTTTCAAAATTTAGTGGACAAAAGTTTTGAAGAAACTTAAATAATAAACACTAATTATCTTGAATTTTGTATATCAATTTTCTGTCTGAAAAACATCAAAAATAGAAGCAAGTTAATCGTATTTAACACCATTGCTGGGGTTTCCTTCATTTGGAATTACAACAGTTGCCTTCCAGTTGTTTTAACATTCGAGTTTATGTACAAAGTATAAATCAATTAATTTAAATAATCGGCATGGCCAGGTGGTTAGGGCACTCGACTCGTAATCTGTGGGTCGCGGGTTCGAATCCCCGTCCCTCGCTTTTTCAGCCGTTATAATGTGACGGTCAATCCCACTATTCGTTGGTAAAAGAGTAGCCCAAGAGTTGGCGGCTAGCGCAGATAGCCGTCGTGTAGCTTTGCGCGAAATTCAAAACAACAAACAATCATTTAAATGTTGAAATAAATATCTCAAGTATAAAGGGTAAAGAGGATATTAAAATTCAAATAAATTAACGATTGTTTTATTTTACTTTCTTAGTTATGTCGTAACTTAAAATATATTGTGTTTTTCGAGATGGAATGCATTCCTGTTCTTTAGTTATAGCACAGCTTTTAGCAATTGTGTTTTACTATTTCAACAATGAGAATATAATGTTGGATTGTTGATTGGTTCTATCAAGTTAGTTCTTTGTTCCCAACATTTTATAGTATTTTAAATTTATTAGCAGACTTTTTCCTCGTGTTAGAACTTTTTGTTGATAGTTTTTTTGTAGAGAGAGCGAAGGGGATAGTAACTGTTTAAAGACACAGACACAAGCGTTCTTAGATGATTCTACAATTTAAAACTTTTTCAACGTCGTCCTACCACAACTGATGCCTCTCGACCTAACGGTCACTGACCGTCGAATGAGTATTGAAAACATTTTTCAGAATGCTCAAACTAATAATATTTTTCTAGACCTAGAAACTGTTCCGTTAAAACTAATGACGCACCGATCAGTTCGTAATTTCTGCTCCATGAAGAATACAAAAAAAAGAAGTGCGACTGCGTAGACACATGTTTACAAATCGTTTTTGTTTATCGTTGTGTTCGTTATAGGTACCCTACTGATGAGGTAGAAAGTGCGAGTTATGGTAAGGAATTGTCAAGCTTCAAGGTCGACATTGACGTCACCATCGGTGATAGAATTCTGACTAAGAGTATATCTAATAATGTTTGCTCTCGAAGGGGCTTTTCAAGGAGGAATTATCATGGGTTGCCGATATTCTCTGCCTTGAGTGTCTTTGATTATGTATCATACTTTGATAATAATATTTGTTTACACAACTATCGAATCGAGTAATGAAATATGTAAATAATATGTTTCACCATTGTAAAAGTTGTCTGGTATGTTGTTCGTTGTTGTTTGTCCGTTTTGTTTTATTGTTTTTTTTATTTGTTTACCCAAAAATCAAGAATGGGGAGAAAAAACTATAAGTTTTTTGTAACAGAATAGCGGTTGTTATAAGCAATATTTTTTAATGTTGTGATTTAGATGTTAGCTAGAGGGCGCATGCGCTAAGATCAAGTAACAATATTCTTGAATATTAATAACGGAGAGACTTTTTTGAAGCGTCTAGAAACTATACATACAGAATGCTGAACAGACAATTAATTCAGGAGTGTTGAATAGTGAATGAGTATTGAGTTGTCAATTTAATTCAGTGAAGTATTTGGATCAGTGCGAGTGATCGCGTTTATTCAGTTACTTGAATAAATAACCCGTCAAATTTTACAAGTAAATTTATTTACTTGTACCGTCAGCAAGGTATTTCCAGTTGAATGTGATTTGAAAATCTAGGCCTACAAGTTACGACAGACTACAACTACAAGCTTGTATAAACATGAAGGAAGAAATAAACTAATTTGTTATCAATAGGTGCACTGAACTTTGAATTATTTATACCAAATAATTTAAAAGAATACGCCTTACAAAAGAACGAAGTTACACTGATGTTAGAGATGGGATTATCTCGATGAAAATAAAATAGAACTTTGAATATATTAAAAGTTGAATTTAACCGTGTAAGATAACAACCACACGTTCAAGAAGTGAGATCCAAACGTTCTAGACATGATGAAATTATCAAAAGAAGAATAAAAAAAAAACATTACAAAAATTAAAACAAAGATAAAATTAAAAAAAAGAGAAATGTTAAAAGAAGATCCAGAAGAAATAACCCAAAAATTATAAGAACGGGAGTAAAAATTAAAGAAAAGAGATAGAAAAATAAGAGCAAGTAGAAATTTATGGGGAATTAAGATAACACCTAGTAGTGACAGGAATTTTAAGAGCTGAGTTAAAAGAAAGATATGTATTATTTAAAGAAGAATTAAATATAAATCTGTTTGAAGACAAGACAGATGAAGTTTTCGGAGATGTACAGAGAGATTACAACCATAGGTTTGAAGAAGTACATAAAAGCTGTAAAAGTAAACACATTATCATGATTGATGTTTAGGAGAGAATGTAAATTTCCATTGGACTTCCTTCATCTAGAGAACAGCAGTAAATTAGAAGAGTCTTACACGTAATATATAGAGACTGAAGAACACTGTCAATGCCATATATGATTTTACCCATGAAAGAGTTAAATCAGCTAGTGATAAGATGAAAAGTCACTATGATGTTAATGCTGATAAGACTGGATGGCATGGTATAGCTGAAAAATCCCTGCTACAAGAAAGGATGAACTCCAGAGTTAAATGGGGGGCTGATAAGGATAATATGCTTTACTGAAAAGAACCAGTGATGTGGTTTAGATAATCCAGAAGGATAGACTGTCCAAGCTAAAGGTCAATCACCACAATCGTCTTTGGAAGTACATCAGTGAGAGAATGGCCAAGTGGGTAAGTCCAGAGAAGAATTTGTCAGTAGAATCTGTACACCATAGAACTCGAAGAGAAAATCACCAAAAAAACTTGGTGAATGGACAGTTTAGTATATTGTTTTGTTGTTGTATTAAGATTGTTCAAAGAACTCCACAGTCTAGGAAGAGGACAGTGTAATAAGCTATATTTTATTTTTGTAATTTAGGTGCTAGCTAGAGGGCATATAACATTTAAGATCAAGCAAGTCATTTAAGACCTAGAATATTTGGGAATATTAATGATCAAGAGACTTCACGAAGTGTCTAGAAATGAAATTACAGATATAGAGAGTACACATTTAGTTGAGGAATGGTGAATAGTGAATGAGTATTGAGTAATCAGTTTGGTTCAGTGAGGTATTTGGATCAGTGCTACTGATTGTGTAGATTCAATTATTCAAAATTTTAACCATGAAGTTGTACAAGTAAATTTGTTTTTACATTAGTTCTAATACTTTTAGAAAGGTATTTCCATTTGAAAACATAGGCTTAAAATTTACAACAGAGTACATTAAGAAATAACTAAATTAATATTTTATTGCTATGTGGACTAAACTTTGAATTATTTTCACTAAATAATTTAAAAGAACTCATCCAACAAAAGAATGAAGTTACAACTCGGTTACTTGCTTTTTAGTTTATTATAAGAGGATTCCGGATATAACTAACATACAAACTGATATCACAAAAGACTAAAGGCATATTTTTTTATCATACAATAAGAACATTAACAGTAACATCAACAAACTTACAAAATAAACAGTATGAAAACAACATGAGGCTTTAAATGAAAAACATTCAGTATCAGATTTTAAAAAAGTAACATTGTATATGGGTTCTGTTTTTTTTTTGCCAATTGTCAAAATAAATGGCTTTTACTTATATTTCTTAATAGTATAAATATATACTATGTTATTGTTGGGCTTAGGATTCTTCTACAGTAGGTGTCTGTGACTTGTTAGCGATAAATTCAATGAAGAATAAACAACACACACACTTTACTTGCTTTCAAATAATAAAATATTCACTCACAAATATAAATTAATCACTAATATTTAAACCAAACAGTCTTTTATATCATGACACAAACCCCTCTTCAAGATAAAATATTTACAATATTTTTTTTATTATATACAAAGACTGTTCTTAGTTCAAACACAAAGTCTGCTCCAATATTTGCAGTCCCTTTGATAGCCTCAATGTGGAACCTATAATTCTGAAGATACAAAGCCCATATCATGATTCTTGCACTGTC